AGACAAAGCAACCCCATCCTCTTGTCACTAGGGCGACCATATTGTTATAATCCAAAATCAGAGTGTAAAAGGGCCCTGTTAAAAAGATGACAGGTGTGAACCAGGACTGCCTGGACAAACCAGATGTATGAACCCCACCCACCTCTGCACCCACAGGTGAAATGCAATGAACAGCCCAACCGTGTGGAGATCTATGAGAAGACAGTGGAGGTGCTGGAGCCGGAGGTCACCAAGCTTATGAAGTTCATGTACTTTCAGGTGAGGATGAGAGACAGGTGTACATGGAGAGGCTTGAAAAGGCCCCTGCTGTCTGGCCACTGTTGTCTGGAGTTTTGTGCTGAGTTTTTTTTTCATTCAGCAAATACTTTTTTGAGCAATCCCCACACCTCCCTGGTTGTGCAGTACAGATGACCCCTCCCCACCACTGAAATTTAAACGTTCCAGTATGTGAGTGTGTTTTAGGTAAGGAGAGAGCCAGACAATAAACAATACACAATAATGATCAGAGGTTCAAGGCCTAATAGGTGCTGTGAAATAAAATTTTTAAAACTGTGGGCTATAGCGTATCTGTGCTGTGGGTACTGGTTTAGAGATAGACTCTCAAGGGATGGATGGTGTTTGAGCTGAGTTCTGTATAATGAGAGACAGGCGGCCTGTGATGACCTGGGAGAACGGGCTCTTGGCAGAGGGTACTGGAGAGGCAAAGGTGCTAAGGCTGGGAGGAGCTTGACCTGGTTTTTCACAGGCAGCTGTGACTAGAACTACTCTAACCATTGAAACAAAAACAAGAAAGAAAGAAACAGAAGGAAGTCCTGCTGCCTGGGGGTGGGAGGTGGATGCCCCTGGGGGGAGTAGCCCAAGTCTAACCCCAGTCTGCCACTTTTAACTGGGCATCCTGTGAGTTACATAGCATCTCTGACATCTCAGATTTCTCACCTTGGAAACGATGCCTACTTCATAGGTCTGTGGTAAGTATAAATGAGGCTTACTTATCAAGAGCTGATTAGAGCTCTGGGTATAGAGTAGGTTCGACATAGCAGCTGCTGTTACTGGCATCATGAACTTGCCTTCCAGGAGCCTGAAATCTCCCTGGGAGGGCAGGTCCAAGAGAGAAGAGCCATCCAGAAATTGATTAAGTACTAAACTGAGGACCTTCTGACAGGAGGCATTTATAGAATAGAGAATCTGGAATAATTTAGAACTCTGCTGTCCAGTACCATGGCCATTAGCCACATGTGGCTATTTATATTAGGTAAAATGAAACTAAATAAAAAAGTAGTTCTTCAGTGGCACAAGGCACATTTCAAGTGCTCAGTGGCCATGTGCTATGAGTGGCTATCCTACTGAAGTGGGTAGGTAGATATGGGACATGGCCATTATCATAGAGAATTTTGTTGGCCTTAGACTCTGGAAGGAGAAGAGTGCCTTGGTATGACCTTGGCAGGAAAGCGGTCACTGGCAGCAGGCACCCCAGGCCTATGGAAGCAGGGCAGAGCTCACATCTGGGCAGTCAACCTTCTCCTTCCCTCCCTCCATTCCTTTTTCTTCCTCCTCTTTCTTTCTTGTGCTCTTTGGTAATACAGTAGCCTCTTTTTGCTATTGTTCAACTGCTGTTTAAAAAATTTGGCCAGGTGCAGTGGCTCACACCTGTAATCCAAGCAGTCTGGGAGGCCCAGACAGGTGGATTGCTTGAGCTCAGGAGTTCAAGACCAGACTTAACGAGACAGAGATTCCATCTCTAAAAAAAAAAAAAACAAAACTAGCCCGTTATCGCAGGTGCCTGTAGTCCCAGCTACTTGGGAGGCTGAGGCCAGAGGCTCACTTGAGCCCAAGAGTTTGAGGTTGCTGTGAGCTGTAACGCCACAGCACTCTACCACAGGCAACAAAGTGAGACTCTGGCTCAAAATTAAAAAAAAAAAAATTATAACACCTTTAGTGATATATAATTCATATAGCATATAATTCACACATTGAGAGTAGACAATTAAATGATTTTTAATATTTCTTTAATATATTCACGGAGTCATGTTTCTATCACTATGATCCATTTTAGAACATCTTCATCACCCCCCAAAGAAGTCCCAGGCCCTTCAGCCATCACCCCATAATATCCTCATTCCCCACCCCATCCCAGCCCTCAGGAACCACTGATCTACTTTCTGTCTCTATCCATGGATTTGCATATTCTGGACATTTCTTATAAATAGAGTCATATAACATGTGGCCTTTGGTGTCTAGTTCTTATAGCTAAAATAATGTATTTAAGGGTTATCCATGTTGTGGCATGTGTTAGAACATCATTTCTTTTTTGTGACTGGATACTGTCCCATTTTGTGGATACATCACATTGTATGGATCCATTCATCAGATGGTGGACATTTGGGATGTTTGTACTTTTGGACTATTATGAGCATAATTTGAACATTCGTGTACAAGTTTTTGTGTGGACTTGGGTTTTCATCTCTCTTGGGCAGATACTAAGGATGGAATTGCTGGGTTGTATGGTAAGTCCACCTTTAAACACAGCAGTTCTTAACTACTTTTCTGATTCTGATTCTATCTTCGCCCCCTACAGTCTGTTCTCACCATAGCAGCCACTGTGACCCTTTAAAATACAATTCAGACCATATTTTCCAGCCCTAGAAACTCCCATGTCTTCCCTGCTAGCTCAGTGTCCAGGCCCAAGCCCTCATGAAGGCCTGCAAGACCCAGTGACCCTGGCCCCTCCATCTGCAGTTCCTTCCCTGTGTTCACCCCACTTCAGCCACACAGCTTTCTTCTCATCCCTTGAACAGGCCTCAGGGCCTTTGCACTGGCCAGTTACCCTTTCTTCCTCCTTCTTCTCTTTAAATTCTTTTTCTAAAAGTCACTTCTTGATGATTTCTTTCTTAGAGGGGCAACTCCTCTGAGTGCTTCCCACCCCTCTTCCTTGCCTTTATTTTTTCTTTTCCATAACATATATCACATGCAGATAAAGAGAATTTGTTTTTTATCTTCTCTCACTAGAACATAGCTCCTTAGGACAGAATTTCCTTTTCCGTTCTTTTTTTTTTTTCTCTGAGACAGAGTCTCACTCTGTCACCCTCAACACCCTCAATAGAGTGCTATGGCATCATAGCTCACAGCAACCTCAAAGTCTTGGGTTCAAGCGATCCTCTTGCCCCCGCCTCCCAAGTAGCTGGGACTACAGGTACCCACCACAACGCCTGGTTATTTTTAGAGACGAGGTCTTGCTTATACTCAGGCTGGTCTTGAACCCATGAGCACAAGCCATTCACCTGCCTCAGCCTCCCAGAGTGCTAGGATTACAGGCATGAGCCACCATACCTGGCCCAGGACAGAATTTTCTTATTTATTTTCTTATTTTGCTCCCTGTTCTACTCTGGTGTTTAGATGGGTGCCTGACACCTAGCTGATGCTCACTAAATAGCTATTACTGCTTTTTCTTTCTGAATATCTCTTTCTCTTTCTCTGTTTTCTTATTGTCTGGTGCCTGAAACTGTCCTAGGTGCTGAGGATATAAAAAATGAATAAGATAGAACCCTTCTCAGCCAACCTTTGTTGAATAAACTCAGTGGTTTATAACTCACTTTGGGATAGGTTCCAGTCTCCACTCTAAAAGTCAGCTTTTTGTTTAAGGACTTCTCAAAGTAAGACTGCCTGACAGATTAGCCTCTCTGCAAAGAGCCAGACTCTGATGGGCCCCAGGGGAGACTTGACACTGTCCCTACTAGAGAGCCCAGGGAGCCCCCCTGCACCTGCCCCAGGCTTACCTGCTCTTCTGTGCCTCCAGCGCAAGGCCATTGAGCGGTTCTGCAGCGAGGTGAAGCGGCTGTGCCATGCTGAGCGCAGGAAGGACTTTGTCTCCGAGGCCTACCTCCTGACTCTGGGCAAGTTCATCAACATGTTTGCTGTCCTGGATGAGCTGAAGAATATGAAGTGCAGTGTCAAGAACGACCACTCTGCCTACAAGAGGTCAGGGCACCCTCCCTGCCTCCTTTCCCCAAACTGGGACCCTCCAGAGCCCTTTCACTAGCTCATCTCTGGTACACACTACCGCACTAGCCAAACACAGCAGGGTTGGGCCTGAATCGGTGTTGTGAGGAACAGTGTGTGGCACTGGGTCTTTGGAGAACCTGGATCTTTGCAGAGGTTTATGTCTCAACATAGAATCAAATCCTCATTTTCCCCATCTGTGGACCAGTAATGTAATGGTAAAATGATTACAGTAGATGATTATAGTCTTATTTCCTATAAGAATCAGAAGCCAGTTCAAACTGCTCATGTAAATGAAGGAGATGGATTGGCCATCAGAACTACAGGGACCAGGAATACCTGTGCTGGGTACTCAGATGGCACGTCAGCCGGTGTCTCTCCACCTCTAGGCTTGACCTTCCTCTGTATGGGCCTCATTCTTAGGTGTCTGGCAGCCTTTAGCAGTATTTCATCTCTAGCCAGGCTAGCAACCTTGGCTTCTGAGGAAGGAAAAGATGCTCCTCCTTCCAAATACTTTAGCAAAATTCCTAGGGAGGATTGCCTTGGGTCCAGCTGGAGTCGTGTGCTGGCCCCTCCATCAGTCACTGGTGGGGGGTGGGGGTGCTTTGGTTGGAGCCAGGGGTTTGTGTCAGTTCATAAGAAAAAAGGCCTGGAATGAAGGAGAGTCATTCCTCTCTAGACATCAGGATGCAGCCACCCAGAAGTAAGGGAGGGCAGTCAAAAGCATCAGATATCCTCTGTGTTGGTAGAGGCTCAGCTGAGCTACAGAGTGTCTAGAAACATCTCTCTAGAACAGTGGTTCTCAACATTCCTAATGCCGTGGCCCTTTAACGCAGTTCCTGTGGGTCGCGACCCTCAGGTTGAGAGCTGCTGCTCTAGAAGGATTTGCTGTGTTACTGGTAAGAAGGTCCTTCCTCCTTAAAATACATCCTGCTGGGAGTCCAGGATAACTGGAGAGAATAGGCTGATTCTCAGTTCCATCTTCCTGAGTCAACTGTGAAGCCTGAGGGTGCTCAGCGGACAGGGCCTCATCTCACAGCTGACTCTCAAGTGGCAGCTTCATGCAGATTTCAGAGGTAGCTCAGGGAATGATACCTTCCCCCAGGTCTCCCCAGTTAGGGTTAGTTGCCTAACTAACGGTCATCCATGGCTGCCTTCCATCACAGCCATGGTCAACATCCTCTGCAGCCCAGCTAGGTCACGTGCAAGGCAGGGTGTCTTGTCTCTGTTTTCACAGTTCATGGTGACACAAGCACCACCAGGAAGTTAGGCAGAGAAGCCCGGGCATCTGTGGTTTTCTCTCATTAAGTCCTGCTTGCACTCCCTGTGCCCATGATCCTTTCACCTATGATCCTGGCACATTAACTAGACTTCTGTTAGTTGTACAGTTGCTTTCGAAACATTGCGGTTTTTCTATACGTAACAGAATATACAATAAAAACAAAGCCTCCAACCTGTGATTCTTCTCCATAACTTACTGTGCATCTTCACTGGAGGTCACAGAAAAATCCTAGGATTCCCATTTCATCCCTTATTTTACCACACCTGGCTGGTTGATGGGATACAAGTTCCCCTTAAGTATTCTGAGATTTCAGAAATTTTTCAGTACATTTTTGCCTTTTAATTTCAGGGATCCTTATTATAAGGGTTTAAGCAGCCCCAAAGGAAATGACTTCAGAACACACTCTGCATTGATGTTAGTGTCACCTGGGAGATTCAGGGCTCATTAACTTTGGGGATGGTGGCACTCTGGGTTAGGTTAGACTGGGAGCCCCTGAGGCCTGGCCTAAGCTGTTACATACTCATGGTCCTCTCTGCATCCCCTGCTGTCTGTACTCCAGAGCGGCACAGTTCCTAAGGAAGATGGCAGATCCTCAGTCTATCCAGGAGTCACAGAACCTTTCCATGTTCCTGGCCAACCACAACAGGATCACCCAGGTGAGGGCAGAGTCCTTGTTAGTCCTGACCTGGTGTCTCGGGGATAAGGGTGGGGGTCTAGAGGTTGTGTGGGCCACAAACCCAAGCGGACAAGCTCAGGCCACACCTTCCATCTCCATTCTCGTAGTGAGAATGAGACAGAGATGCAGGCCCAGTCTCTCCTCCCAGCCGTATGGTCCTTTCCCGCTCTCCACATTTCATTCCCTGAAAGCCCTTTCAGCCAGTGCTGTGCCCCCTGCATCTGAGTACAGGCTGACAGTGTAGGATGTGGAGTGAGGCAGCCATGATTTCTAATCCTAGACTGCCTCTGACTCATTGTGAGACTTTGGGCAAAGTCTAAGCATTAGCATACTTATCTGTGAAATGGGTCTGTGATTTTAAGAATATTATGAGAATCCATCTCCTAGGTCTGTTGTTAGAAATAAATGAGATTGTCTATAAAAGCCCTTATCACTCACAGCCTGACAAAGCTGTTGTCCAGCTGCCATGCTTTGTTTGCCAGGGCACCTGCCACCTAACTGTCACTCTCCTGTTCTGCCCAACATGACATAACCTGTCTCAATCTCCGTCAGTTCAACCTACACAGGCCCCACTAGAATATTTGTAGGACTCAGGCCAAAACTGAGAGGGGCCCTTCATTTCCTCGGGGTTTTCAGATTCAAACTATTGTCACTGAAACCCTGGGGTGGGCAGGGCCCTTCCTACTCTTGTTAATGGCAGAAGGTTGCTCAGCAATTGAAGCTCTAGGTTTTTTTTTCCTGGAGACTCAGCCGCCTTGCCTGTGGGGAGTACCAGCAGTGTACCCCCTCTGAATGTCCTGCAGGAGAGAAAGGGCTTGGGGGGGGTGCTCCATCTGGAATAGGGGATGCTCCTGCACTGCTGTGTCCTGCCCGCAGGAGCACAGCAGCTGG